AGCCTACAATATGGATTTAGGCTCAATGTCAAGAAGACAAAGATTCTCACCACTGGACCAATTGGCAGCATCAGGATGGATAGTGAAGAGATTGAGATTGTACACAGCTTTAGTTTGCTTGGCTAGTATCAAGTAGAAAGTCCTAATACAGAGCTACAAGACTGTGTTTATTTTTTCCTTTGCTGTGGTATAAACTCACCAAGCAATAAATAAATATTTTATCATATCAATATAGAAGTCTTTCCAAATAAAATATTTTTTAAACCACAACTATCTGTGTTTTATTGTATTAAAGGGCATTTGACTGTGTGGATCAGAACAAATTGTGGTTAACCTTGAGGAGAATAGAAATCCCAGAACACTTGATTGTGTTCATGCAAAACCTATATTTGGATCAGGAAGCAGTTCTCAGAACAGAGCAGAGAAACACTGCATGGTTCAAAATCAGGAAGGGAGTGTATCATGGATGTGTCCTGTCTCCATACCTTTTCTTTTTTTTACTATTCCTTGTATTTGTTTCATACAGTCAAAGGTTAAAGCTTTTAAACACTATAGATATTCTTTTAGCATATGATAAAGAAAGGTAAAAAGGGCTTACAGTTTGGAAGGACCTTCTATAATTGGAAAATTTGAACGATTTCAACTTGTTTAAACTATTTCAATGTTGGTTTTCTACTTCAAGAAATGTTATTAAAAACTCATGAATTATCTTTGCTAATTTCAGAGTGTCTGAGAGAATCAAATACTTTATCAATATCCAAACAGATTCCAATCTGAATGCACATACTCATATTTTTTAAATAAGAGAAAAGAATAAAAAAAGGTGGCCAGCTGATAAACTCAGAAATAAATTCTAAAATGCACGGAAATGGACATGAGGAAAAAAAATACATGGGGCTTGTGGGAGGAATGCGTTCTAGACTCTGGTTATTGTTCTTCCATGAAATAATTACACGGTATTGTACAACTATTTTTTAAAAAAATTTGTATATACCTTAGTAATCTAGTAAGGGAGCTCTGCTGGCCTAGTGGGTAAAGAGTTGAGCTGCCAACCCAAAGACAGGTGGTTCAAGTCCACAGACAATTCTAAGGAAGAAATATGGACAAAAAAAAATCTCCTCCTGCATAATTTACTGCTTCTGCAAACCCATTGGAGGGTCAGCTATAAGTCGGTTCTAATTTGACAGCAATGAGATTTTCTTGTTTTATGAATGAATTGGTAAGAGAACTCCGGTGGCATAGTCCGTAGGAAGTTGTGTTCCTAACTTAAGGCAGCGTCTCTGAGATAGTTAATCACTTGTGTGATTTTTCCGCCTTCTGAAACCCCCCTGGAGGGTGAGCTGTAAATTGGTTTTGACTGAGCAGCAATGCACTGAGTGTAGTTGTATGAATTAGTTCTTATTAAAGTTCACTGGGGAAGAAACTGAAATCTTACTAGACAAAACTGGACAGGACACTCAGATAAACTGAAGAGAAATATTATAGGGAAAATGTAAAGAAAATACAATATTTGTTGTTGTTGTTTTGTGCTGTCAAGTCACTTGCGACTCATAGCGACCCTATGT